ATGGTAACACCTCTTGCTTGCTTGCTTGGATGGTACAAGGGGTGAGGGGGGCATGTAGAAACCTCTTGAGCTTTGCATGGCTGGAATGTAGCCCAACTGTACAAAATTAAGAGTCATATCTATGGCCTCCACCCACTTCTACACGTGGTCCCCAGAGATTTGCCCATATGGAACGGAGCCCTCAGACTGAAAAGGTTTCCAGCCCCCAGTGTTAGAAGAAGAAGAGGAGTTTGGATTTGATATCCCCCTTTATCACTACCCGAAGGAGTCTCAAAGCGGCTAACATTCTCCTTTCCCTTCGTTCCCCACAACAAACACTCTGTGAGGTGAGTGGGGCTGAGAGACTTCAAAGGAGCGTGACTAGCCCAAGGTCACCCAGCAGCTGCATGTGGAGGAGCAGGGAATCGAACCCGGTTCCCCAGATTACAAGACTACTGCTTTTAACCACTACACCACACTGGCTTAGAAGAAAGGGTGGGTGTCCTACAGCTGGTTGGGTCACTGTCCATTTACTGGGCTCAGGTAAGACCACACAGCAGGTCCACCAAAGGATCCGGTAAAAAATACAAGCCGTAATAAGGGTAGCCTTATTGAAAGCAAAGCCAAGGTGAAACCGAGGTCAGAAGCCAGAGAGTAGTCCTGAGCTACATATAATTCAGAGGTAGAGCGATGGGGGGCAAAGGTCAGCAGTTAAAGCCAGTTAGATTGCATGACTAAGGAGCCAGACCTCAGCTGGAGGTTTATAAAGCCTGGCCTCCCAGACTGAAAAAGGTGGTTAAGCCTGCTCTCTAGAGGAATCGTGGATTCTGTAGAGAACTGCAGGTACTCCCAAAGAACCCTTCACTTTTGGGCAGTGTGTTGACATGACGTTTTTTAGGTATGCATTCCTTCACTGACCCACTGCCTGAGCCTCAGTTTTCTGGTGTTTATGCTTTTGAGAGCTGTTTGAGCTCAGCTTGGGGAGGAGTTCCTCTGCTGCAGGAAAATCAGGGACCCGCCCCAAGGGTTCTTCCTGGGCAGACTTGGGGAGCGCTCTCTTGGGGAAGGGCCCACCCACCCCCAGGTTTCCTGGCTGGGAGCGCTGGTTTCACTGAGGTTGGAGAGCAGGTGGTTGGATCAAGGCAACCACAAGGAAGTAACTTTTGCTTATTCACCCTCCTCTCTGCCACCCCCTGTGCCCACCTTGCCCCCCTGCCAAATCTGCTCAAGAGGATTGGTACTGGGGGTAGTCAGTTGTAGGGGTCTGCAGGAGAAAAGGCAACTTTGCCCATATATATATATATATATATATATATATATATATATATATATATAAAATACCCTCATGGAACCTTCTACTCAATCAAAGAGCCTTCTGTCAGCAGAGGGAAATGTCCGGATACAACTAAAAGGTAAAGGTAAAGGGACCCCTGACCATTAGGTCCAGTTGTGGCCGACTCTGGGTTTGTGGTGCTCATCTCGCTTTATTGGCTGAGGGAGTCGGCGTACAGCTTCCGGGTCATGTGGCCAGTATGACTAAGCCGTTTCTGGCGAACCAGAGCAGCGCACGGAAATGCTGTTTACCTTCCCGCCAGAGTGGTACCTATTCATTTACTTGCACTTTGGCATGCTTTCGAACTGCTAGGTTGGCAGGAGCAGGGACCGAGCAACGGGAGCTCACCCCGTTGCAGGGATTCAAACCGTCAACCTTCTGATTGGCAAGTCCTAGGCTCTGTGGTTTAACCCACAGCGCCACCCGCGTCCCTTCCGGATACAACTATTAGTATGTAAACAGGACTAGGTCTACCTAGGCAGGCTAGGCAGCCACCAGAAGCATCACAATTCCATGGTGGGGGGAAAGAACATAGGAAGCAGCCTTATAGAGAGTCAGACCATGGGTTTGTCTAGCTCAGTATTGTCTACATCCAGATGGGCAACCTGTGACTTTTCATATGTTTGTTTGACTACAACTCCCATGATTCCTAATTTGGAATGCTGGCTGGGGCTGATGGGTGATGGCTGGAGGACCTCAGGTTGTCCGTCTCTGATCTACACTGACTGACAGACATTATTCAAGATTTCAGGTGAAGTGCCTTCCACATCTACCTGGGGATGCTACAGATTGAATCAAGTAACATGTGCTGTATCACTGAGCCACAGCCATCAAGTTCCATAAAGTTCTACAGAGTTCCATAAAGTACTGCAGAGTCATGTTGCATCTACCATGACTAGCACCCACCCAACCCTGAAAACAGTGTGTGTTCCCCAATATGCTGTGATAGTGCAGAAGATATTGAGAGTCACTTTCCATTTGCATGGGGATGCTCTGTCCTATCCTAACTATTGGGTAGGAAAATTGTATTTCTCTTTTCCAGAACCCCTGGGAAGGTGACCATTGTTCCCATTTTACAGATGGAGAACTGAGATTTTTTTAAAAAGTGACTTGGCCTAGGCTACGCAGTTAAAATGTGAACCAGTATAATGTTAGAGTGTTGATTCTGGGGGATTCTTACTTGGTCGTGAAGCTCATTGGTTGACCTTGGGCCAGGCACAGTCTTTCACCCTAACCTACCTCACAGGGCTGATGTGAGGACACAGTGACGAGGGTGAGAGTCAAAGGCAATAATAAAGAAAACTCTGAAATAAATCAAATTAAGAAACGGAAAAGACTTCCACCTGGGGATGTCTATTCAAGTCCATCCACAGGACTCAGTTCATTGGAAAGGATTCTGTTGTTGCTACTAATAATTCATCAATGTGATGCTTATAGAAACCTTTACAGAACAAACCTTTACGATTTTGTGTTTCTGAGATGACCACCTTTTTCCATTTGAGCCAAAGAGAGATTTTTTTATAATAAGGATGTTGCTCCTGTTGGACAAATAATGTTCTGTTCAGTGGCAGCAGAAAACATACAGTTGAAGCACTACTGGAACAATTCCTTCTTGGTTTCATAATAAGTTGTTACTGGTGGTTGTCAAAAGACAGTTCTGATTCCCATGTTTGAATCAATTAAATAAGATGTACAGTACTTTTAAAAACAAACAAACCCCACCCATTTCATAATGCTGTTATTATAGGCTGTGTTTTTCTTCTTTTTCCACCTCTGAAAACCCAAGGCTATCTGAAAATGTGAGTTACCCAGTAATGACAAAACAGACAAAAGTCATGACTGATTAGACCAGTAATATCTTCCATCATTGGTCTAATCAATTTGTTTTGCATTGTGTGCTTGTCACTTTCGAGGCAAAGACTTCTTCCTAGTGAAACTTTCAAGGAACAAGAAGAAAAAAATGCAAGGATTGACATAAATAAATCCCGAAGGGTCCAACATTTGTAAACCAAGCACTAAGGTGGAATGGGTAAACATTTCAGCAGAGGGAAAACTCTGAACCCCTTTTTCTCTTCGTTTTACATTCAACCCTGTATTTATTTTAAGAAGGGGCTCTGCATTCCAGCACCTGCCCCCCCCCATCTTGCAACAACAACAACAAAAACCAACAACTTTATTCTGATTCTCAACAGGACAAGAAAGGAAGCGAGGCTCAAGCGAATTATGCCCAAGAATGAAAGAAGATTTGTATGTTCTGCTGAGATGGGTGATGATTTCAAATGAACATAGAGGGGGAAAGAGAGAGGCGGAGAAGAAAAGGGTCGCAGGGAGGGAGGGAAGGGGGGGGGCAGAGGGCTGTTGTTACCACTTTGTCAATTTCATGCCTGGGATCTACTCCAGGGACCATCTCGGGGAAGCTGGCCTGCCTGTTTACCCAAGGAGGTCTGCGCTGATAGCACGTTACGTTGGTTTACTTTGCTTTCCTGGAGTTTATTGTAAAAAGGGTGAAGTTTTTCGGATCCATCACGTGACCCTGACAGGTCCTGCCTATTGAGAAAGCCAGACCACCCACATGGAGAGGACGATGGAGCGCTTAATAGAAACAGGCATGCAATTGTGAGCCCGCTCAGCACTCTGCAGAATGCCTGCAACCTAGGAGGAGGAATATTATTATTATTATTTTACACTTTCTGTTCCCTTTCGGAGACCGGGAGGAGGTGCGGGAGAGAAGGTGGAGGGGAAGCGGCGGGCAAGAAGAGAGCTTTGAAGGCAAGCAGGAAAAGGATCAGGGAAAGGAAAAAAGAAAACCGATGTGCTCCTATCGAAGTCCTCTGCCTCGGCGGCGGCGGCGACAGCACTGAATGAAATTGGCCAGCCCCACCGGGAGCTCACCCTGCCCCACCGAGGGGCTCAGCGGGGAGATGGTGAGTAAGAGATGCAACGGAAAATGGCCTCTGGGCTGGGAAATGAAACAGGAAGGGGGGCACCCGTGGGTGGGAGCGGGGATCCAGAGAGAGAGATCTCCTGGCAGGGGGCAAATCCTGGCACGGGGGCGGGGGGGTGAAACAAGAGGAAGGAAACCCAGGATGGCTTTTTGCTTGGGGGAGAGAAGGCGGAGGGGAGGCAGCCTCGCCTCGCTCCTGTCACTGCAGGAACACACAGCCCCCCAGGCAGGCAGCGTCTCGTTTCCCGGTGGGGGCCAGGAGGGCGGCTGCCGCTGGGGGTGGCGAGGACGGAACTGATCGGTGATAATTCGCGTCCAAGGAGGTCTCGGGGATCCTATTTTCACGCTTGGATAGGGTCGCCACCCTGCCTTCCGCCCGCGAGGAGTCCCCCTCCCCGGGAATGAGAGAGAGAGAGAGAGAGAGAGAGAGAGAGAGAGAGGGAGGGAGAGGGAGAGATTTGTTTCACTGGGAGAAAAATTTGCTGGACAGCGCGTTGGATTTTGTTGTGTTTCAGGGAGGATTAAGTCGTGTGTGTCTGCTGGGGTTGCCTTCTCTCACCCCCTCCCGCAAAAAAACCCCAGGATTACCTTTAACTGGCATTTAAAACAAAAAGGGGAGTTTGCCAAGTTGTGGATCTGACTGCTGACAATCCTGGTTTGAACACAAACTTCGTGCTGCTTACTTTGGGGCTCTTGTTTTCCCACGAGCTTTGCAGCATCATCCCCCCCCTTCTCTGAGGCTACTCTGGAGTAAGCGGCTTGTAGCTTGATCCTGGCTTCGCGAGGGACTCAAACACGATTGTTGTGGGTCCCTGCACGTCTGAATGGGGCTTGCTTCCGAGCAAGCGTAGTGAGCAGAGGGGGAAGATGGGGCTCTTTCCGGACGCGTCTTCCAATCTACTGTCGTGGTGATCAGGGCTAGGGGAGAGAACGAGAGACAGAGAGAGAGGGATCCCTGTGTGCATGATCTAGCCACGGGTCGCTGCTCGTTAGTAGTGGCGGTGATCCGTCGGACATCCCGTTTAAGACGCTCCCACGTTTTACAGTTTAGGATTTAACCGTTGTCTCCTCGACAGGATGGGACGTTTTCTTCATGAAACATGAAGCCAAACTTTGGGAGGTAATAGAAAACCAGCGATTAAAAAGGAGATCCCTATCGGTTGTTTGCACACCTCTTATTTAATAACTGATCCCTTACTACCCAGCACACTCTCCCCAGACCTTGGCTGACATGCATAGGACTAATATTTCATAATGCATCAATCATGGCAACAAAGTCCATTTGGGAATGGTGGAGGCAGGGAAGTAGATGAGGTTTGTGGTAGGTATCAGTAACCCTTCCCTTTTTAAAAACAGGGATGTAGTTGTGTCATTCCAGACTCTGGGGATAATGGTCTTAGAGGTGCCCCTCCTTCAAAGGGCAAGATATTCATTTACTGCCAAGTGTGAAAAGCCAGCCCTGCAGAGTTTCAGGACCCTCCTGCTCAATCTGCTGAACAGACATCTCCCCCCAAGTCCTGCCCTGACAGGACCACTGTTTCTTTAGCACTGTTGAAGTTGTAGGGAGCGAGTGGGAAACCTTTGGCCAGGTGTTGATAAACTACAGCTCCCATCAACCTCAGCCAGCATGGCTAAGAATAGCTAAGGCTGACGGGGGTTGTAGTCCAACATCAGGCAAGCCAAAGGCTCCTATTTCTACTGCAAAGGCAGTGACAGGGCCACACAGGGAGTTTTGTGGGTGCCCTCAAGGCTTGGAACCCGGACACCCTCCTCCAGCAGCACTCTGGACCACACTGCCAGTGTGGGTAGTTTGGGAACTGTTGTAAACATGCTAGATACTGGAGCCTTCCAACCTAACCTTGGCTTTTATGCAACCTGTCTTCCTCTTTGGCTGTTGGTACCCCGTTTAGGACAGGGGACTTCTCAACAGTGGGCTTGCATTCCCATGCTTCTTTTCTGTTTTCCTCAAGCAAACTGTGAGTCCACAGTTTACAGGGCACGGTGTGTTCACTAGGTCTACCTGTGTTCCAAGTCCTTCAGAAATCAATGGAACTGTTGTCTGCAGAAGCTTCCATAGGACAGTCTGGGCTTTCTTCCTGGAAAATGGGTTTCTTTACAAAAAAATAAATAAATAAAAATCTGGCAGTACAGATTCAAGGTAGTTAAAAATAAAACCAGAGCGGGGGGCCGTCCCCAGAGACTTCGGTTAATGGACACATCCACACACCTAAGTAAGGTTCTGTAAAAAGGAAATAACTTTTCTGATTCATCAATCTGATTTTTGATTCGTTTATTTACAGACTGTGGCACAGGATTGTAATACTCTTGCAAGGCACTGGGAAATGAGGTTTTCCTTTTGCACTGGGAGTATTGGAAAGGAAAGTGGGGAAGAAGCCCCCCCCCTTTTAATTTCCCTTTCCTAATTGCTTTCAGGATGCAGCAGATGGAAAACTGACAGGGCAGAAATCTATGAATTAAAATATCTCTGTCCTCACTGATTTTATCCTTATCACACCCACCCACCTTTTATTTCTTCTGCCTTTGCCGCAGTCCATTCAGAGATGGAGGCGTGATGTCAAAACCGGATTAGCAGCCTGAAAGAAAGGCAGGCACTGAGACTGAATTGCTTTACTTCCTTTTCATTTCTCATGCCTCTATCTCCAGTAAACGTGTGGATCCAGCAGTGGGTCAATGGGATTGCATTGCGAGGCAGCACAAACACACCGTGACCAATTTGCTCTTTGGCAGAGATCATAGGCATTAAAACCTGCCTTTTGCCTAATGGGAGGCAGGATGAACAAGCAAGATGGAGAAGAGCTCTTCTGAGGAAAACTATGACCCACTGGGCGATAGTTCAGTGGTAGAGTATCCACGCTGGATGCAGAGAGGGCTGAGAATGAATGAAACAGCTGCCCATTTCTACTCAACGTACAATACTGAGCTAGATGGTACAATGTTCTGTCTCAGTATAGGCAGCTTCCCGTGTTCCTGTGTTGACTGGTGTAACTTCAGCTTTTTCTCTAGCAAAGCACAGGATTAAAACTGGGATTCTTAGATATTGCAAGGAGAGCCACAAAACCCTTCATCTCCTGCAGTTTCTCCCCCTTATATCTCACCTTTCTTCCATCATGGAACCCTATGTAGCATAAACGTGGTTTCGATGAAGTATCTTATCTAGGCAGACTCTGGCCTGCTTAGCTTCAGCTAGATGATTGCTTCAGGTATGTTTCAGACCTTATTCTAGGAAGTGCTAGAATTCTAGACTATGTTGTCTCAGACTGCAGGTAGGGTAGAAGAAGAGTTCGGATTTGATATCCTGCTTTATCACTACCCTAAGGAGTCTCAAAGTGGCTAACAATCTCCTTTCCCTTCCTCCCCCACAACAAACATTCTGTGAGGTGAGTGGGGCTGAGAGATTTCAGAGAAGTGTGACTAGCCCAAGGTCACCCAGCAGCTGCATGTGGAGGAGCGGGGAAGCGAACCCGGTTCACCAGTTTACGAGTCCACTGCTCTTAACCACTACCTTTATCAAAAAGGATTACATTTTTTGTCTTTTGATGTGCTAGCTTACCATATGCAGGAATTGGGAAATGAGGCTCGTTTTGCATAAGGGAATATTCCTCCCCACTTTCAAAATTGCTTCCAACGCAACTAAAAGAGAAGTTTTGGAGAGCATTCAGAATATGATTCCCTCCACCTGTACCCTGAAATGGTACAAAAATTTACTGCTTCCCAGTCCTCCTACCTCATTCTGTTTATGTAATGCATAGATCAGTTGACTGCTCCAGGAAAGAAAACATTAAGCCCCTTACCCCTGAACCTATGTCAGCTGATGAGAGGCAGTCTAGTCTATACAAACGATGGATTCAAGCAGTACACCTTGGCTACAGATGGAAGACGCGATGTCTGAATAATGCAGTTCCTCAACACACACACACACACACACACACACACACACACACGAGAGAGAGAGAAATAAGTAAACTTCCCCTTTACAAAGAAAAAGAGTATGGGTGAGAGAGATTGGTTTATCCCATCACTTCAACATTGTGATTTTCCACATGCAAGAGCTTTTCTCTTAGAAAAGCAGAACACAAATGGATTCCACTCCTGTAGCCTGAAGTGGTACAGTCAAGAAAAAAGCAACTGCTTAGTTTTAATGGCGCTGATGATGCTGGACAGCAAATTTTCACAGCATTTCCACTTTGCTGAGGTCTCTCCTTTTACCATCTGCCTCCCTCTCCTTTGCTTTCATTCTTGAAAAGCTAGGAGATAATTGACTGCTTAACATCAGCTGTTTACCTTACACTTAAAAATTCAAGCATCTCCCCTCTTCTTGGCCTTCAGTTAAGAGAGGCTCACAGTGATAAATTTCAGACTGAAAAGGAAAACTGATCTCTCTTCCCAAAATGCATATTTGGGGATGGTGTGGGTGTGTGTACGTAAATGCATGAAGATTTGTCATACCTGAGACACACGAAGATAAAAGTTGGAAACATTGATTTTGGGCCCTCCAACGGAATCACTCATTTTTCTAGGGGTCATATCTTACAGCTTATCATGGGAAGATAATTTCATGTATGTTTTTATTAAGAAAGAAAATAGCACCACTGAAAACCCCAAATACAAAGTAACCACAATCAGATAGTCTCTGTCAGCACCAAGTCGTGGGTTTGGAGAGGTAGGAAGTCCCCAGTCAGAAGGCTGACTTCTAGGAGAGATTGGGACTGTTTTTTTCTCATTTTAAAAGACACTGTGTTGTGGAGGTGGGGTGGGACTTGTGACCCTCCAGGTATTGCTAGACTGCAACTCCCATCAGTCCTCACCAATTGCCATGGGAGTTGGAGTCCAACAACAGCTGGGGGTGGCAGAGCTTTCCCACCACTGTGAGATTTATTTATTGTTTTAAGCCTGAGCTTCTAAACCTCAGGATGGTAAGACTGTTCAGTGGAAGGTGGAGGGAGGACTCTGGAGTTTGGCAGAGGGCATACACCTGTGTACTGTCCATATAGCTGGATAGACCTTAGAGTAATAGCTGTCAACCTCTCAAATGCATCCTGCTTTTAAATCTGGGACCACCCTTTCAGCTGCTGCTGGTGGTGTCTTTCTCATTTTTTCTCTACAACATACACAGGATAACAGCACTCCTATAGTTTAATCACTGTACAGTCATATGGGGGATTTGCCAGGTGCAAGATATTATGTGTACCTTTGGAAAGCTGCACAGGCCAGAAAAATCAATCTTCCACAGACGTGCTCTGCCTTTCTTTCCATCTTGTAACCTTTCTACTCTCATCTTTAAAAACAAACAAACCACTAAAACCATCTTGAGGACTAGAAACTCAGGCTTTTAAAAATGTCATTTTCTTGTTGCATTAAGAAGGTCTTCTTTCAGAATGAAGAGAGGCAGTCCCAAGTTTTCCTGGAAATTGTGATGCTGCCCCTGGTACAAACCTATCTGTGGGGTTTGGCTCGCCAGCGGGTGCCTCCTCCCTAACTGGGATGCCCTTCCCATGCTCCTTAGCCCAGGGGCCTCCCATCCTGACAAACTCCCTCCTCCCTCCCTGGTGAACTTGGGGCTCTCGGGGCCTTTGGTGGCCCTCTCGCCCGGAGATCTCTGCGGGGCGACCCGCCTGCTTTCCTGCGCGTAGGCGCTGCAGATCCCTCCTTCGCTCCTTTGTGGCGTGCGAAGCAGCCTGCCATTAAAGGAGATCAGGGGTAATTAGCCGCATTATTTTGACAAGTTGGCTCGAGCGGTTCCCTTTCTGACGCTGCCGAGGAGGGGACCCAGAAGGAAGGCGGGCGGGGGCCGAGGCGAGGGCGGCTTGAGTCCTGCCGTTCAGGGGCCTTTCCCAAGCCCCGGCTCGCTCCTTGCAAAAGCCTCTCCGCGGACGCTGCTGCTGCTGCTACTGCTGCAG